GGGACGGGCATATGCACAAACAATGAGTGAGATGCGCACCTCTGGGGGAATGGACACACTTGAAGCTCGGACTTGGGGGGAGGGAGGGTAAGGGCATCATACGTAACCTAATCATCTGTACCCCCATAACATGCTGAAATAAAAAAAAAAAAAAGAAAAAAACAAAAGTAAAGTATACAAGAGGATATGCACAGGTTATATGCAAATATTATACCATTTTATATAAGGGACTTTACCACCCGTGGATTTTGGTATCTGCAGGGGTCCTGGAACTAATACCTCATGGATATTGAGGGGTGACTCTGTGTGTGTGTGTGTGTGTGTGTGTGTATTGGTTAGTTTCATCTGTTTATGGAAAGCATTTTTGACACTTACGGAAGCTTATAGTTTAAAAGTTTAAAGGGAACAATAACTAAATAAACCAAAAAGTAAACCTCATTTTATGTAACGCTTTTACTTTCTTTTTCACATACTATAGTCACACTTTACTTTCCGTGAAGTTTCAATAATATATATAATTTTGGTATAATATTTTGATTATTTTGTAAATTAAAGAATTTTCTTTATGAAAATTGTTTCATGACCTCTTTCTGGTTTTGGAGGTGAGAGAAAAGGAAAAGGGGAAGAGAAAAATCAAAAGACATTATTTCTATATTGTGACAAAGTCAAAAAAATGTATACTTGAAATTCTTCAATTAACAACATATTAGAAATAATAATATGTGCAATATAGTACAGCACTCAATACTTCTCTGTTACTATGGGTTAGTTAAAAATCAGTGAAGTGCTTGGTGGTCCTGATTTCTATACTATACCACTATAAGCCACCCTTACAACAAACTATCCCAGCTCTGAGGAAAAAAAGGTCAACCTCTCCCTTTTCTGCCCTTATTAAAAATAAGCCAGGCTGCTGGGACAACCTCTGTTCCAAACAGCCTTCCACGGTGCCATCCTGAAGAAATCTAGGGTTCAGTACGGCTGCTGTGCCGGATGCAGATAAAATGCAGACCTCTTCACTATAAAGGAAAAAAAACCAAACAAGTTAATATTTTCAGATAGTGTAACTTTGGATAATGCTAAATATCACATGATTATAACATGACAATTTAAATTCAAATTAGACTCTACTAAATATTAAATAATATCATGGGATTACCTCCTAACCCTAGGATAGAAAATAGAAGTAATATAACTTTATTAGAATAAAAAGGGTCAGAATTCTTTATAAATTAAAAATCAAAAAAGATAAGGTATGAATGTCAGTAACTTCCTTTAAAATATGGTAAGGCTGAAAGAATAAAATGTCTCAAAATATAAGCAGTAATAAACTAACTATATTGTTGAATCCAGCATCAATCAAATTGTATTAAAATACTCTTTAAATGCATATAAAGTTTTGTTAAAATTATTCTAAAAGCACAACTATGTAAACATCTAGATTTATATAGCTTAATCTAAATTTAAATAATTATAAAAGTATCTGAAACAATACCCAAAATACACTAAACAAACCTTAACATATCGACTGCCACACTAGAAAAGAATTTTTTTTCCTTGGGGCCACGGTGTTTTATTACCAAAACAGAATAAAAACAAAATGATCCTTTCTAATGAAAAATTGTTATTTTTTATTGTTTTCTGTGTGTGGTCAATATTAATTGTAACAATAAGAACATCAACAAGGTGAAGAGACATGTGAGTTACAGATGCTTCACGAGGCTCTGGGCTCAAAACTAGTGTGAGTTAAATACCACTTACATGGCAGTTAATGTGTTAAGCTACATCATATGATAGAAAACTGATTTTCAAAAGAATTCTTTGAAATTCTTTATTATATATCGCCCAATTTGAAAGCTAAAAAAATTAACAACATGATTAGTGAGTGAAATCACCCAGAACAAATGAGAAAAGTAGCAACCTAGGGATGAAGTACTGAAAACAAGGTATAAATGAAACAAAAGCCCAAGAGACATGGAAGAAATAGTCACTTCGACTGTTAGTGAATAAAGGGAGACCAGGCTCAAAAGGTTAGCGGACACTAAGGATGCCAGAAGGAATAACTTGGAGCCACTGAAGACTTTGAATCAAGAAGTTAGAAGAGCAGAAGTATATTTCAAAGAGTTTAATTCAGTAACAGTAAGTAGCACGGGTTGGAACAGAAAACATTAGTAAAACTTGGATTTAAATACAAAGATTTTTTGAGGTCTATGGGGAAAAAATCTTCTATCAGATGAATTTAAACTCTAAGTAAATTAATTGGACTCATTTGTAGACTTTTGCATCTGTGACCTATCTTCAGACATGCTGAATACATATCCTGTGGCCTACCTCACATGCTACTCTTTTACGCTTTGAAACCTCTCCCCATACCTCCTCTCTTTATTTATATAGTTCATATTCGTCCTCCAAGATTTTGTTCAAGCATCAGTTACTTCAGTAACACTTTCCTGCAATCCTACCTCTTTCAGCCCTCCGGGATCCCAAAGCATCCTGGTATATCACAATCATAAACTGTACTTCTAATGCTCCTATAAAATGTAAATCTGATGGCAAGAACTATGTCTTTTAAAACCATATCCTCAGGGGACCTGAAAGCATATGACACTAAATCCATGAATGAGGCAAAATGATCCACCAGAGAGTAAGACAAGATAAGCATGACAAAGTTAGTGGTTAACAAGAGTAGAATAGAATAGTTCAAGAGTATAATACATGGTCAGCAAAGAAAAAAAGGGCCCACACAAGATTAAACGGCATGGATCTGTAATGGCCATACTACAGCTTAACGATTTTTCTCTAACAATAACGATCACCACAAGAGCAGAGAATCTAGCAGTAAGAATTATCTAAGCATAGACGGTGGAAAAATAAGATAGCAGAAGGTCAAACAGTTTCTAGATGATATCAATTATCAACTTCTGAAGGCACTGGAAGAAGGGTTCAAGGATGGCAAAACAACGAGTAAAGCCAGAGCCCACACAAGGAACTTGGAAAATATTTGGTTAAGATAAGGGTCAAAACAAACTTGATATAAATGAGCAAATGATATTGGTGGAGAAACATTAAGCTGTAAACTGAGAGTAAAATTTTATAGCTTTTTTAAATTTTAACATGGAACAGTTTCAAGTGATAATGAGGTTCAAAATATCACCGAAAGTTAAGTGGGGATAGAGAACTTGAGAATGAGAAACTGTAATGCGAGGCTGCTAGAAGGGAGATAATCATGTACAACTGGAGCAGACAGCAGAGAAGTAATTAAGAAAGGCAGAAGAATGTTTTGAAGGTATATAACTCTGAACAGTAGAGTGGCATTTACTTTAAATTAAGAGAAGTTGTTCAAATGAAAGGTAGGAGAAAAAAAGGAATTGAGAAGCAAGAGTATGAAAGCCCCTTCCTAACTTGGCAGATTTACAAAGAATGATTTGTTAGCAGGAGAAAGTCATGTTACACTTAGTAAAAGGAGGCAGAATGAGTTTACAAACTTTAAAGGCACATGGCAATTAATTCACAATAGATAAAGGGTTCCAAAGATCCCAGTGAAATGAGTTAGCAGTCACAAACTAAAGTAAAATAGACCTAGAGGTAATATTTGCTATGTGCCAGTATTATATTCTTGATCCCAAGATTAAATGATTAGAGATATTGTCTCCATTTTAATGTATAAATTGAGGCTCAGAGGAGTAACTCTCCCAAAGTTACAAAGAGACTAAGTGGCAAAGATGGCATATGGACCTTGATCTGATGTACTCCAAAGCCCATGCTCCTGACCACTTCACTGGTCTCTTTTCTTTATATTTGCATAAAACTCTTCCCCTTTCAGATGACACTTTAAATTACGGTGTCTACAAAATCAAGTTGTTTTCATCATTTACCAGATGCTAGTTGATTCACTGTAGCCCACTACAGCATGACAGCCTAATGCTTTAGCATGTGATTTTATTTCTTGTCTGATTTCTGCCCACCATGCATCTCGAGTTTCTGGTTCATCTGAAAAATAAATTTTAAATCAGTTTACTATTCAACAGCACATTGTCTATATGAACAAGAAATGTTTTAAAATAAACATACTATGGGGGGTAAAGAAGTTTTGTTCTACTACAGATTTTTAAACTTCACATCTTTAAAATGATACTTCTCCAAAAGCATACGATTTAACATTTTAAACTTGATTGCTGGAAAACAAACCACCTAGCTCTATTTGCTCTATTACTTTAAGGGACATCTACAGAAATGTATTTTTAGATACAATTTAAAATGTAGACCCAGAGTTTCCAGATTTCTAACCTTAACTGAGAGGATATCCTATGTCTCACCTAGTGAACAACTTAGGTGTCATATCCATAAACTTAATTTAAATTTTGATTTCATTTCCTGGTACTTATTTTATATAACCCACTATATTCTGGATTCTTTCCAACGCCAAGATTTGTCAATGTTAAAAGAGAGAAAGCCATTTGTAGCCATCCTTCTACAGAGGTGTAGGTCTCAAAGCAAGATGACAGAAATAAAGGGACTAGCTAATCCACAAAAAGAAAAAAAAGCAAATACATTTAAAAGATTAATACAAAGAATTTGTTTAAGGTATATAAGGACAAATGGACAAATTTCAGATATAATACTCCATGTACCGCTCTGTAATTTTAAAAATGGCTTAGGATTACAGAATTGTATTTTATTACCATAGGAAGTCCAATATTGCTTGCAATGGAGCTTTACAAATGGACCATCTGTCACACATACTTACTAATCACTTGCATTTAGCTGCAAACGACTGGTGACAGCAGCTGCAAATTATAGTAACTTTTTATATACAAAGATGTTAAAAACAGAAACAGTCTATAATTAGCATATCCTGATTTATTTCTTTTCGTGGCCAATTCCTATTTGGAAACAATTTGATATAGGAAAAAAAATCAATTCTAAATAGGATGCTAGGCTCTTATTGTAAATTTTCCCCATAAAAGGCATTATTAAACTGAAAACCAAATAATCCAAACATTTTCTATTTTTGAATTGCAGTATATATCCAATTTTAAAAATGTTTTTCAAAATAAACAGAATAAGTAGAATTATACTCACTAGTAAAGTAGTGAAGACAGCAAAGTAAAGAAAGGTTAAGAGGCTTGTGATAGCTCACATTCCTATGATGTGATTTTGTTTCCTCCACAGGGAGGAGAATGGCAAAAGGGAGAAATGAGGAGATAAAAGCCAGAACTACAAATGATGCCAAGCCAGGTCTTGAATTAAAGTTTTGGATCCAAGACAGAGCTACCCTAAAACTTTCTTTCAGAACAAACAAAGAAATGTAGACTGCAGGAAACTGAGGAAAAGATCAAAGTACAGGATAAAATGAAGGAAGAGAAAAAGAAAAGACTACAATATGGTGTTAGCAATCAATATTACGAATTAAGAAATGTGTGAAACAATTAAGTGGCCCGATTTTACATATATACTACATATATTAAAAAATCTCTATATA